CTAATGTCATAAAGCAAGTAGACCTAACAGATATTTACAGAACATTCCACTTAAACACCAAAGAACATGCCTTCTTTTCAGTACCTCATGGAACTTTCTTCAAAAGTGATCACATACTTGGATACAAATCAAATCTAAACAGATACAAGAAAATTAAAATAACTCCCTGTATCTTGTCAAACTACCACATATTAAACCTGAATATGAACAACAACAGAAAGGTTACAAACTCATGAAAATTGAACAATTCACTACTGGATTAAATATGTTCCAAGAAAGAAATTAGAAACTTTATAGAATTAAATAAAAATGAAAACATAATGTACCCAAACTTACGCAACACAATGAAGGTAGTTCCAAGAGGCAGTTCATAGCACTAAGTGCCTACATTTAAACTTTTTGAGAGGTCACAAATTAGTTACTAACAAGACACCTGGACACTCTAGAACAAAAAGAAGAAATCACACCAAAAGGAGTAGAGAGCAAGAAATAAACTCAGGGCTGAAATCAATAAAATAGAAACAAACAAACAAAGCAATACCATACAAACAATCAATGAAACTAAGAGTTAGTTCTTCGAGAAAAACCAGTAAGACTGACAAACTTTTAGCCAAATTACCTGTCTTATTGCTTCTATTGCTGTGATGAAACACCATTCCTGAATGCAAATTGGGAAGGAAGGGGTTTATCTGGCTTACACATCCACATCGTAGTCCGTTACTGAAGGAAGCCAGGACAGGAACTCAAACAGGGCAGGAACCTGGAGGAAAGAGATGATGTAGAGGCCATGGAGAGGTGCTGCTTACTGGCTTGCTGTACGTGGCTTGATTAGCCTTATGTTTTATTTTTTTCATTGTTGAATTGAGACGACTGAGGTTGAGAATTATCAATGACCAGTGTTCGTGGATTCCTGTTATTTCCCTGTTTACATGTGGGTTTTTCCCCTCCCTCTTTTGATTTGCTGGCCTGGAATCACTTATTCTTGTTGGTTTTGGGGGATGTGGTTAATTTCTTCAGGTTGACATTTTCCTAGTACCCTCCATAGGGCTGGATTTGTAAATAAATACTGCTTGAATTTGTTTTTGTTTGTTTGTTTGTTTGTTTGTTTTATGGAATGTCTTTTCTTTTCCATCTATTGTGGTTGAAAGTTTTGCTGAGTATAACAGTCGGGGTTGGTGTCTGTGGTTTCTTAGAATCTATAGACCATCTGTCCAGGTTCTTCTGGCTTTAGGATCTCTGTTGAAAAGTCAGGTGCTATTCTAATAGGTCTTCCTTTACATGTTGGTCTTTTTTCCCAAGTCAACCAGTCCAGGATGGCACCACCCACCGTGAGCTGGGCCCTCCCCATCAATCACTAATTAAGAAAATGCTCTGCAGTCTTGCCTAGAGCTGAATTTTATGAAGGCATTTTCTCTGTGGAGGTTTCTTCCTCGCTGATGACTCTAACTTGTGTCAAGTTGACATAAAACTAGCCAAGACCTTTTAAGCCAAAGAAAGAAAATCCAAATTAACAAAATTAGCATTAAAGGGGGGGGGGGGGAAAACAACAGATGCCAAGGAAATCCAAAAAGAGAATCATAAGGACATACTTTTAAAATTCTGTATTCCTCCACATTGGAAAATCTAAGGGTCATGGATAATTTCTCAATGCATACCACCAACCAAAGTGCAATCAAGATCAGATATTTTAAAGAGACCTGTAATGAAACAGAAACTGTCATTAAAAGTCTACCAAACAAAAAAAGTCCAGGACCAGAAGGTTTTAGTGCAGAATTCTACCAAACTTTCAAAGAAGAATGATTGACAAGCCTCCTCAAAGTATTCAACAAAATAGAAACAGAAGTAACATTGCCCAATTCTTTTTGTGGAGCCACAGTTACCTTGATACCCAAACCACACAAAGATCTAACAAAGAAAGAGAATTATAGACCAATTTCCCTCATGAACCTGGATGCAAGTAATCTCAGTAAGTATCTGTGGGTTGAATACAGGAATACATAAAAAAAATCATTCACCATGGTGCTGGAAGGAACTCTGCATGCTATCAAAGGAGAAATGCAGACAACAACCCTGCTTCGATCTACAACCATGTTTGCATGGAAGATATGCTAACACAATACTCGCGCATTTGTGGTAGTAACCAGTCAACATCTGGTTGGATTTAAGGCCCACTCCATGAGACAAAACCCATCCCTGACACTACTCAGGTGCTGTGGGATAATGATTTTGTACACTGTAAAGATTTGCCACTAGTATTAGTTTAATAAAATGCTGATTGGCCAGTAGCCAGACAAGAAGTATAGGTGGGGCAACCAGACTAAGAGAATTCTGGGAAGAGAAATGGCAGAGAAAATCAGTCAGTAGCCAGATGCAGAGGAAGCAAGATGAAAATGCCTCACTGAGAAAAGGTACCAAGCCACATGGCTAAAGATAGACAAGAATTATGGATTAATTTAAGTTATAAGAGCTAGTTAATAATAAGCCTGAGCTAATAGACCAAACAGTTTATAATTAATATAAGCCTCTGTGTGTTTCTTTGGTATAGAATGGCTGAGAGATTGGGCAGGACAGAAACTTTCAACTATACGTAAGTGTCAGAAGCCTGAGACTAGAGGCCAGAGATCTACAGGAAAGTCAAATGAAAGACCTACTAAAAGAATTTAGCAATCAAATGACTCCTGATGGCATTCTGCTACATTCAGAGATCAGTGTTTTGCCCAACCACCATCAGAGGCACTTCCTCTCGCAGTAGATGGGAACAAATACAGAGACTGGACAATGTGCAGAGAGTGAAAAAGCTTTTCACACCCAGTCCTAAATGGGATGGGACGTCTCCATGAAATCCCCACCTCAGGCCTCAGGTGACTCTGTGGAAAAGACTGTAAGAGCCAGCGGGAACCGAGGACACAAGGAAACAAAGCCTTCTGAACACAGCACCAGTAACACACACATGAACTCCCAGAGACTGTGGCAGCATGCACAGGTCTGCACAAGTCTGTACAGGTCTGAGCCAGACTGGGTACCAGATGCCTGTTCAGTTTTGTTCTATAATAAGAAAGAGAAAGAAAGTGTGGATTTGGATATGAAGGGAGGTGAGAGGACCTGGGAGGAGAGAGGAAACCATGATCAGAATTTATTGTATGAAAAACAAATCCATTTTCAATAAAAGAAAAATAGGGATAAAAGCTTTTTTAATCCATTTATTTATTTAGAGATAGGCTCTAACTATGTAACCCTGGCTGGCCTGGAACTTCCAGAGATATGCCTCTCTCTGCCTCCCACATGCTGAGATTAAATGCATGAGCACCATGCTGGGCAAAGCAAACTGTCCATGAAAGAAGAAACAGCCTACAGCGTGGGAGAAAACCTTTACCAGGCACATGTTCATCCAAGGATTATTATCTAGAATACACAAAGAACTCAAGAAATTATATGTCAAAAAAAGAAAAAACAAACAGTTCAATCAAAAGTGTGTCACAAAACTAAACAGAATTATCAAAAGGAATACAAATGGCTAATGGATATTTTTAAAGTGTTCATTCAACATTGTTAGCCATATGGGAGTGGTAGGAAAATAGATTGATATAGCCACTGGAGGAATCAATGTAGAGATTCCTCAAAAAATATAAACATAGAGCTATCATGTGATCTAGCATTACATTCCTGGATATATATATATATATATATATATATATATATATATATATATATATA